ATAGTTAACATCATAATTAAGTAAAGGACCAGTAAAAACCAAAATAAAATTACCATGAGAATCTCTCAAGACCCCAACACAACTCACATTGGAATCCATGATAGCACCATCCACATTTAGCTTATAAGAGTTAATAGGGGGCTTAGTCTAATAAATAAATCTAGGTTCTTTAGGAAGATTATCCACCTCTAACTTAAGACCTAAATCAGCTATAATAGAAAAATAATTTTTAAAGTTCTTGACAGAGAGCAACTTAGCAGAATAAAGATCAACAACCTTGTCTTTCACATTTTGGATAATTCTATGATGGTTCATAAACACGCCAATAAAATGAGAGTTTTTCCTATCCAACCATAAATACCATAAGATAAGGGAAGGAATAATATTTCTAATATGGCCTTTGGGCTTATTAAACCAACAATTAAGCATAGCTTTAATAGAGAATTTGGCATTAAAATAATTTAAATGAAAATTTTCATCAAAATAAGACCAAGTTTTTATAGCTAAAGGACCAGAGAGAAAAACATGATGCATATTATCTATATGATAACTACATGGGCACTTAGACGATAAGATAAAGCCTCTTTTAATTAAATTATCATCCGTAGATATAAACTTATGTAAAATTATCCAAGTAAAAATAACAACCGTGGTAGGAATGCTTTTATGTCAAATCATATAAAAGATCTTGAAAACCTCATGCTTGGATCTAAAGAAATGCCAAGCATCCTTTAATCTAAAGTTACCATCTTTAGTCAAAGCACATAACATAACATAATTAGAATTTGTGTTCAGAGGGAGATTCAAAATTTGTTGAATAATAGAATCAGGAAGAACACTAGAAAGTTTCTCATAATCTCAACAATTGTTAGTAAGGAAATAATTCACCTTAACAGTCGCAGAGGAAGAGGTATTTGTAATAGAATTAATAGATTGGCCCCCCAACCAACGATCCTGTCAAAAGAAAATATTACCACCACCAAGCCCCCAATAGATAAAGGGCTCAACAACCCTATTTACTTTGCAAAGACGTTGCCACACTTTAGAATCACCTTTGCTAAACTAGCACGTAGTCGAATGTTTACCCCCACAATATTTGGCAACCATAAAAGTAGCCTAAAGGCTCATATTAGTATGAAAGTTGTACCATAACTTAAAATAGAAAGCATGGGATAAATAATTCATAGTGTTACACCCCAAGGTCCCTTCATCCAAGATACCACAACATTGGTCCCAAGAGGACTAGTTAATTTTAGAATTGCTACTAGCCCCTTTCCAAAAAGAATTATTGAAAATCCTGTCAATCCTGTTACAAACTGCCTGAGTAGGAAGCAAAGTTTGAAAAATATAAACAGACAAAGAGCAAAGAACATTTTTAATGAGAATTAATCTACCTCCAAAACTCAAAAAATTAGAATCCCAAGACAAAGTTTGTTTTGCACAATAGTAATTAAATCATCAAAAAGAAAAGTTTTCTTTTTACCCTTAAAAAGAGGCACCACAAGATACTTCATAGGCAAATGGTCATGACTAAAATCAGTTAAATTTTTAATAGCCACAATACAATCATTAGGCGCTTTCTTGGAAGAAATAGAGAAACACTTATGTTTATTTAGAGGAAGGACACTAACCATTTCAAATTTGTGAAAAATACTCATGAGTCTGTTAAGTTTATTAAGCGAAGCATTCATAAAAATGATAAAGTCATCAGCCAAACATAAATGAGAGATAGAACAACCACCCAAAGTTCTAAAATAGAGGCTAGGACAATTCTCAAAAAGGTTGGCAAGACCTCTAGAAAGGTACTCTGCAGCAATAATGAAGCGGGCAAGAGATATAGGATCACCGTGTCTTAGCCCAAGGGAAGCTTTAAAAAAATCATTGCTCTTACCATTAACAATGATAGAAAAGTAGGGGCCTTTAATGTTGTTTTTAATAAAATTGATAAAATTCAAGTCAAAGCCAAACAATTTCATAAAATTACAAAGAAAATTTCAATCAATGTTATCATAAGCCTTGGTAATATCAAGTTTCAAAATCATATTTCCACGTCTAACTTTAACATGAAGATCTTGACAAAATTCTTGGGGCCAACATAATATTATCAGCAATAGCACGCCCTTTAACAAAAACCTATTTAAAAACGATAGAAAATTTTAGGCAAAAACAACGTTAAACGGTTCATTGGGATTTTAGAAAGTAGTTTATAAAAAAAAGGTGCACAAACTAATACGTCTAAAATCATTCCAATTACTAACAAAGTTATTCTTGTGGATAATCCCAATAGAAGTAGATGTAAAAAACTTAAGAATAGAATTACAAACAAAAAAATCAATAACAGTAGAAAAAAGATCATTACAAATAATATGCCATGATTTCTGATAAAACTTAGTCGTAAAACCATCCGGCCCGGCAACTGAATCATCATTCATACCAAGGATAATCTCTTTAACCTCCTCAAAAGAAGGAGATTTAAAAAAAAAAATTCATTATCCTCTTGAGAAATAAGGTTAGGGATGATAGAAGGATTGTCAATAATAGTCAGACTAAAAGCCTTATTAAGATTATTTTGAAAATGATGGATAGCTAAATTAGCAATTTCCACATCATCCTCAGTAACAGAGCCATCATCATGATTAATTTTATGAATACAATTAATAGCACGTTTCCTCTTAACCAAAGCATAGAATTATTTAGTATTGCTATCACCTTCAACCAAATGTTTAACAATAGCTTTTTGTTTTTGAAAATTTTCTCATGAGCTTGTAATTTACAAAAGCAATCTTTAGCATCTCTCAATAAACTAAAATTTATATCAGAAGGCACCAATTGACACTAATTCTCAAAAGCATTAACTTTCTCTTCAGCATTTAAAATGTTAGAGACAAGATTTAAAAACAGTATGATTCCATCATTTTAAAACTTGCGTGAGCCTTTTTAGCTTAAACCAAAATCTCCTCATGTTAAAAATAGAATTATTCGGATGTAAAGGAGCATGCCAATTTTTCTAAACCAAGTTCATAAAATAATCATGAAGCAACCACATATTTTGAAACCCAAAATTGAGAAGGAGAGTCCATAGATCTAGTCTTAAGTCTAATAAGCAGGGGAGAATGATCAGAGAGGGTCCTGCTAAGATGCTCAACTGTAGTAGAATCAAAATAGTTAAGCCAGCAATCATTAAATAATACTCGATCCAACCTTTTCCATAAAAGCCCACAGTTCCAAGTGAATTTATTACTAGAGAAGCCAATATAAATTAAATTACAATTCATAATCATATTATTAAAATCCTCCATAGATTGATAGATAGGGAGAGAGCCCCTTATGCTCTTAGAAGATTTAGAGATAGTATTAAAATCCCCTCCAACAATTCCGAATAAGTTACAAATACTATGAAAGTTAATGATTTGATTCCATAAAAATTTTCTTGTATAATGAGAAGAAGCAACATAAACAAAAGAGGCATAACATTCAAAATTAGAACTTTCAATACTACAATGCATAACTTGAGTAAAGTCTCCAATAATATCTATATGAATATGATAATTCCAAAACACCCAAATTTTATTGGCCACATTCGAAATATCATATTTAAATCCCAATAATTTAGCAATACTAAGTAACTTATCAGAGGAAATAAGTCGCTCAAGCAAAACAAGAATAGAAATATTATAAATGAGGCATAAGTTTTTAACTCTTAATGTAGGAAGGACACCAAATACCCCTAACTTTCCAAATAATAGCATTAAACATTAAAAAAAGAAAATTAATGAGAAGTATGCGAACGAGTGGTTCTAGGAGGTTGTAAAATGAAGTTCTTGTGCTTCTTACCTCTCCTACTATGAATCATGGAATAATTAGTGTCATTATCATCTCTTGCAAAACATTTAGCCATCATATCCATATCCTCCGTGTCAGTAAAATCATCACTATGATATTGATAATTCAAAGAAAACTTATTGTCATTAATCATACCTGCCTGCCCCCTCTCAAGAGGCATTTCATCTTCCTCATAGAAAGCACCATCTTCCACAATGGTTTTATTGCTCAATTCATTACCACAGTTATCCTTCACCACACCAGTTTGGTCAATCTCCTAGACATTCACATCAAGTTGAGAGAGCTCCTTATTAGCACAATTATTTTTTAACTAGACGGCCTTCACATGAGGAAAGATCTTGTTAGAAACAGGAGGAGCATTATCAAAGGATGAACTATTATTTAGATTAGTAGCAATACTTTGTTCATCCATATTTTGACAAACAACATGTAAAGAAGAGGTAGAGTTAAGATTAACTTCCTGAACATGAATCAATTCATCACCATTACAAGAATTTCAGATTAATGAAAAACTAATAAATAACATCCAGATTAGGCCGCCTAAGAAGGAACTCGCCAATCAGCGTAAGAACAAAAGGAGCAACCAACATCGAAACCATAGAGTCATCAAACATCAAAGCCGGACAACCTTTAAAAGAAGTATGAACAAACTGAAGTTTGGCAGAAGTAGAAGAACCAGCCAAAACCTCCTTAAACAACTGGGACTTGCCATTCGGAAGCACAACAGACGGAGGGATAGATAACAACGGAGTCGACATCTCTCGAAAATAACAAAACCAGAAACAAAACTACAAACTCAAATGAAAATAATATGAAGCAAACACAAAAGAAAAAAATCGAGCAGAAAAAACCACAAAATCCTTTTCCATGGACGAAGAGAGAAGAGCTTGGGAACGAAAGCCCTAAATCACCTCCAAATCGCCAGAAGAGTAGAGAGTATTAAAAAAATGGAGTATTTGTAGAATATGACACAAGCTTATCTTATATCTAATGAAAATAGATCATATTTTCAACAACTTAGCTTTGATTTTTATAGAAGTAAAATATAATACTCATCACATTTAAATACAAAATATGATTTAATAGAATGTAAAATATAATATATAAAAAATAACCAATAATGAGATTTTACGGGTAATACTAAAAAGTGATACACCTTTTTTATGTATTACATGTTCTATAAACTTATTGATAATTCAGATTCAGAGTAATCCATAGAAAAGTATATTGAAGACACTGGATCTGAAGAAGAGAAGAAAGGCTTTGGTGGCATTTGTAAGGAATCCACATCAGCTTCTAGCATTTCCAAAACATTAATCATGGAAGGGCGATCTATAGGCCGTGTTTGAATACAGCTCAAACCCACCTTGCATAGCTTCCTCTCTAAATCATCAATCTCAGAAATGTCAAAGTTTTTAGACATTTCCATCTTTTGTAGCTTATCATAAATCCATGATGGATAGTAAACTTGACTAGAATCATCTGCTTTCAGGTTAGCATGCCTACGCCCACCAGCCATGTCCATTAGAAGCATGCCAAAGCTATATACATCTGATTTATGAGATATAGTCCCAAAACTTCTAGATATTAATTCAGGCGCAATGTATCCAATTGTTCCTCTAGCAGCACTGATTGAGACAAGACTATGGCCCTTAGGGTGCAACTTTGCTAAGCCAAAATCAGAGATCTTTGGTGTAAATTTATGATCCAAAAGGATATTATGAGGCTTTATGTCAAAGTGCAGAATCCCCATATTACATCCTTGATGTAGATAATGAAGTCCCTTGGCCACAGACTTGGCAATCTCAAGAAGCTTCTCTATGTTGAGGAATCTATTTGCCTTGTTTGAATTAAAAATGTATTTATCAAGAGATCCATTAGCCATGTACTCATAAACCAGAGCTCTATAAGATCCATCAACACAAAATCCCACAAGTTGAACTACATTTACATGATGAATCATACCAATAGTTGATACTTCATTAATAAAATCCTCTCCATCACCCATGGATTTCCCCAACATCTTTACAGCTACCAAAATATTGCCAGGGATTCTTCCTTTATAAACGGACCCAAAGCCTCCTTGTCCTAGCTTCTCTTTGAAATTGCTTGTAATTGTGATAATCTCATTGTATGTATATCTTGAAGGTGAGAGGGCTTTTTGGTTTTGCAGAAACCTCTCAACGACATCAATAGGCTTGATAAGCTTGAATAAGTTGTATGCAAGGAACGAAAGAACACATAATGGTGCAAATAGAAATCTTCCGATTAATAATAACACTGCAAGAATATAATTTGGCCGTCACTCAACATTTTACAGTTAATTCAAAGTTTTATATGAAAATATGTTCCTACCTAGTATTAGGAGTGTTATGTCCAATACTATGATAACTACTGCTGCTACATAGAAGGTAAATATTAACTGACGGTACCGCTTGTCATGGAGACATGCCAAGAAATCAAATTCAAAATGGAAATGTCTTATCACACCATATGTGGTCATGACTTTTACTCCATTAATAACATTTGATGATTCCCACTCAAAAAATTTTGTACTGCATTTAGGAAATGAAGATTAGAAGTAAGATAATATAAAGTTTGTATGTGTAATTTTTTGTATACTTACAATCCTGCAGTTTTAGCGCAAATGTGGATGGCATCTATCATTGAATTAATAGGAGGGTGCCAATTAAGCGTAAAACCTAGTTTGAGTTGATCAAACTTGGTAAGTCCATCATTTTCGTTCAGTGGAATAGTGTATAGAAATTGACAATTTTCTGGGAAGTATCCAACATAAAAAGAAATAAATGTCGCATAGATAGTAGCGTTGTTCTTGCTGAGACAAGACAAAATATTTGAGTTTGATTGATTGAGCTTTACTGAGCAGCTAATAAATGTAACTTGATCTTGATAATAGAGCTCGGACCAAAATGTTTCACCCGAATCACCTGGATATATTGATCCACCTGGAAGACCGCAGTTGTTGTGAAACAAACCAACATCAACAAGCATGATTTTATAATCACGGTATGATATATCTTTGACATAATACTTCCTTTGATGGATATCTAATATTGTATTGTTGCCTTCGCAGTTGAGTTCAAAATCAGAACTACCACATTCAATCGGATCACCTCTAAGGTGGAAAGGATACCTGATGTTTTGGAGGCTGCCGCAAGATGATGAGCAACTTTCTTTGCCATGGCTTATGATTATTTCCGTGAAAGAGAGGAAAATCAAACAGAAAGACAATTCCAAAAGTGATGGCATCCTCTAAGCTTCCCTTATTGTTTCTTCATTCAGGTGTAGAGGCTTTGGCATCTAACTATTAATTGAATGATTTTATAATATGATGAGAAGGTTGTGGTCGTCATCAAATTTAATTGACTTTTTATAAGTCTTTTTTTATATAAATTTTTTAGTTTGAATCTGCGCAAATTTTTTATTTTTAATGGACTTCTGAAGCAGCCAAATTTGAATGCCTCAAGGATATAAAAGTCAAGTACGAGCCCTACAAAAGAAAAGGAGCTGTACGATATGATGTGTTTTTATATGCTTTCATACGAAACTGTGATGTAAATTGCATAATGATAATTTATGAAGTAAGAAAATATATAAAAGTAAAAAAATAAATAAACAACATATATTCAGTAGAATAATTTACCTTTTTTTTTTTCTTTTCTTCTCCTGATTATCAATCTCATTTGGTTTGCTTTTCCTTACTAGAAAATAATAATCATGTATTAAGAGTTATTTTACTAATTTGCAACATATATTTTATTTTATTAGCCCAAATTTTATAGACTTTTCAAGCAACCAAGCTTGACTGCTTCAAAAGCAAGAAATTATGTTCCTTAGTAGAGTTCATGTACTTAAGAGTCAATTTATGGGCCATACAAAAGAAAAGGATGGCGCTTAATTGCTTCGTTGTCCAATATATACAACTTGGTCACATGATATGAAAGTTTTTATACACTTTTATACGAATGTGAATTGCATAATAATAATTTAAGAATAAAAATATTGAATAAAAATAAAAATGAATAAATATATATTCCAGAGATAAAGAGCCCAACTTAAAGATTTTTTTCTTTTCTTGTTTATGGGATATGATTTTCTTTTTCTTGGTAATATAACTAGAATAACAATTATAAAATAAATAAATAGTAGTTATAAAAATGATAAAATCCTTTTATTTAACCCAATTACTTTTTAGATATTAAAAATAATTACAAATGATGCTCTTTCTCCTGGGGAAGACATTGGATCAATGCAACAACAGAACGTCATATAGAGTAGTTTACATTGATGGGGTTGGATGAACCGAATGTCTTGAGATATATTTTGTAGAGAGTGTTGGCCAATTCATTCGGTTCGTAGGATTTTATTTGGGCAATAGAGGTTGGAAGACCATATTCGACAAGTGACGGAAGTCAGCAGGACCATAGTTCGCAATGGTGATCGATGGGACTGTAATCAGTGTGCGACAGAGGTCAGGGGGACAGCAGCCAATGGGTGGCAGAGGTCAACATAGTCGGTAGTGATGGGGGTCAGGGGCACCATAGTTGGTGGGAAACTAGGTCATAGGGACTATAGTCTACAGTGATGGAGGTCAGCGGGACAGTAGTAAGCACGGGATAGATATTGGTGAGACCGTAGTCAGTGGGCTATGGAGGTCAAAGGGATCTTAGTCAATGGGAAATCAAGGTCAGAGCGGTCATAGTTGTTGGGCAATGGAGATCAAAGGGATCATTGTCGATTGGCGATGGCGGTCAGAGGGATCATTATTAGCAGACGACGGTGGTAGAAGGGACCATAGTTGGTGGGTGATGTAGATCACAGGACTATATTTGATGGGCGAGGTAGGTTAGAGGGATCATATATGTTGGGAACAATGTTTGATGGGGTAGTCGGTAGGTGATAGAGGTTAATGGCCACCCAATCGGCAGGTAATGGTTTTCAGAGTGACCATAGTATGAGGTCGATGGAATTCAGAGGGACCATTGTTTGTTGGAGACAGAAGTCGGAGGGATCGTAGTTGGAAGAACCATATTCGATGGGAGATAGTTGCTTGAAGGACCTTAGTTGATGGGCTATTATGGTCCAATGGATCGTAATTTGTGGGAGATAGTGGTCAGAGGGACCTTAGTGAGGGGACCATTGTGGTCAAAGGGACTATTCTCAAGGGGAGATGGTGGTTAGAGGGATCACTATCAATAGACGATTATGGTTGGAGAAACCATCATCGAGAGGAAATAGTGGTTGGAGAGATCGTAATTAGTGGGTGATGGTGGTTGATGAGACCATCATGGGTGGACAACGCTGGATGAAGGGACTGTTATGGCTAGCGATGATGGTTAGAGGGACCATAGTCAATGTGGCATGGTGTTTGATGGAACAACATTTTTTGGTGAAGGTGGTCATAGGGACCATCGTGGGTGGGAGACGAAGGTCGTAGGAACTATAGTCGGTGGGTGATAGAGGTTTGAGCAACCATAATCAACGGGTAATGGTGGTCAAAGGGATTATTTTCAATGAGCGAGGGTGATTAGAGGGACTATAGTTAGTGGGTGATCATGGTTAAAGGGATTGTAGTCAGTGGGAAATGTTATTCGGAGGGACTATTGTTGGAAGGTGATGGTGGTTGGAGGGACCATAACAAAGGGGAGACAATGGTCGAAAAGACCAACATATATAGTCAACTATCAATGGAGGGAGCATTGTTGATAGGTGATGGTAGTCATAAAGATCACAGTTAGTGGGTAATGGTGGTTAAAGGGACCATAGTCAGGGGGAGATGGTTGTCGGAAGGATTGTAGTCGGAGGATAATAGTGATCGGAGTGATCGTTGTCAGCGAGTGATGGTGGTCGAAGAGGCCATTATGGAAGGGGGACGGTTGTCAAAAGTACCATCTTTGGTTGGCGATGGTGGTCATGGAGACCATAGTCTATGAGTGATGGAGGTCAAAGAGACTAGAGTTGGTGAACGATGGTAGTTGGAGGGACCATATTCTATAGGGGATGGTGGTCCGAGGGACCATAGTCAATGGGTGAAGGTGGTTGAAAGGACCGTAGTCGATGTGTAATGGTGGTCTAAGAAACCCTAATCTATCGATGATAGAGGTCGACTGGTGCGTAGTCCGACAACAGTCATAGGAGTCTTTATGGAGGTTTTGGCCCGATGAAAGTTTGATAGTGATGATCAGGTGGAGGTTCAGTAATGATGGCTGGGCAGTGAGGGTTTTCTAATGGTGGGCTTGGGGCTAAGCTCCATGATTCTTTAAGCCTTATAACTCTTTTAATATCTAGCTCAAGGTGCAAGCTTCCATAGGTCCAAGTTCATTTTGATGTGAAAGAGGGGGGTATATTTATTGTTTTTATGGGTGGCATGTACAGTAAATATGGAAATGATTCAAGACAAATTCGGAGTGCTTCTTTGGATAACCCATATCGTTTCCGTCGATCCTTGGGCATTCATTTTGCATTTAAGTGCTTCAATAATGTCTGAATTATGTTAGATTTCTCTCATCAAACCTCTTGATTTGAACATAAGCATGCCATATTTAGATAAAATTTGGTCATCCAACTAATATGCTTTAATTAGCCCTTGATTTGAGCCCATTTAGGCTTGAATTTGACTAATTTTAGTGGTGTTAGGTTCGCCACATCAAGACATTTTGTTTGAATAAATGTTTACTGAAATTGGAGTTTGGATGGTCAAGAATTTAGTTTGGAAAGTTTCATCAAGAATTTTGCCTTATTAAGGTGATTTTTTGGGATGTGCCAATTATCTTCCCAATTTTTGGAAGTCGAAACTAGCAGAGTCTTAACATAGTTAAATTTTTTGAATAATTATGAGGTGGGACTGCTCCTATGAAATAAACATGAATCTCCCCTCAAGGTTGTGAATGAAGTAAAATATCCTTGATCATAATTTTAGCATTAATTGAAGTAGAGGAGTGGTTTAGTGCAAGATGTATTGAAGGGTTTTACTCCAAAACTTTTAAGTTTGCTTGAAATTGATTATATTGGTTATGATGGGCAATAAAGTTGTTAAGACTAAGTTCAAAACATAGGAAAAATTGTCCCATGAAACCAAAAAATGGTTGAATCAGATTGTCTGTGGGAAAATTAGGCCTAGAGAAAACTTGTCGGCCAAAATAACTAGTTAGCCCGTCGAAGCTTTTCATTAACGAGCGAACGCATAAGTTGGCAAGTGCCCATGGGAGACAATAATGTGAATCCCGATTAAAACCCTAAAAATTAATTTAATTAACATACCTCATAATTATTGAATTTGTGAATCCCACTCGAAATCCAACGTACCTACTCTGCACCGCGATCGCTTCCTAGATATCCCGCTGACTACCTCTATCGAACCTTGTTATCAACATTAAAATGAAACCAAATAGAATTCCATTCATTTCTTCTTCTCTCTTCCACACACCCCAATCCCCCTACTCTTGCTGCAAGAATACCCCAAGCTTCGATCCCCTATCCTCTTTTACAACCCGAAGTCAATCCTTAACCCCTTACCTATAGCAAAATTCGAAGCCAATGATCAACCCCAACTCTTCTTTTCTTCCTCCAAGAGTAGATATTCCACACCTCAACTCAAGCCCCTTGCAACCTCCATTCGCTCCCGAACCAACCATTATCCTTCTTCTTTTATCGGATTTTCTCCTCCTCATCCCACCCATATCCAATGCTAGAACTCCATACTTGTGAACTCCAATTGATCTCCTCTTCTCAAACTTCACATATGCCTCTTCCTCCTAGCCGCAACATGCCAGAAATCCAGCCTCTTTACAACACTTAAGCTCCACACCCCATCTCCCTGTTCGACCTACACAAGCTTTCTGATCCATTCGGTCTGAGGAGAGGAAGGGTTTTCTCCCTAACTAGCTGAACTTCACGCCTACTCCATTTTCTATTCATACACGCTGACCTCTCTTCTCTTGTATGAACCCTGGCCAAATCCCATCTTTGTTTTAACCCTTCTTTAAACCCAACCTCATGTAATCTCACCTCCTCCTCAACCAAATCCCTTGCTGATTTCCCTAACATAGCTCTTAAAGGTATTAATTAAGTTTTTTTTATTCCCACTATAACTTTAGCATATTATTAATATTAATAATGCTTATTATTATTATTAATGCTTATTAATATATATGGTTTAAGAAAAGAGGAGAAGAGAAATAACATGAAGAGAGAAAGAAAAGAACAAAAAGGAAAATGAGAGAGAGAGAGAATAAAAAAGAAAAAGAAAAAGAAATATATTGTCTCATTTTTGTAGCGTAGCAAACAACCAGCCATGCTCATTTTTCT